GGACCCTATTCGCGGGCCGGACGGCGGCGGAGGCGGGGAGGCGCGCGTCGCGGCCCGAGGAGCGCCTCGGCGTCCCCGCCGAGAAGTGCGGTCGCGCCCCTGTCTCCCTTCCTCCCTCCCTCCCTCGCGCGCCCCGGCCGCGCTCTGCCCGGGCAGCTGTCCGTCGGGGATTCCCGGTGGCGACGCCTGTCGGGGTGGAACCGCTCCAGGCCGTCCCCCCGGGGCTGGTGGCGCTGGGCATCCTTTTCCAGTGTTTAGCGCGGTTTCACGTCAGGACTCCACCAGCCGGAGTTCCCGAAGCCTTCGTGGTTGACCTTCGCACCTTGGCTGTGCAGATGGCCGGTGGGAGAGTTGACGGGGACTGGCCTGGGGTCACGCAGTGGACCAGGAGGCGACCAGAGCCCAGGCTTGTGGCTGTGAGGCCCGCTACCGAGCCCGGCTCGAGGGGCAGTCTGGGTGGCTTGTGGTTTACTCCAGATGCTTTCTATTGACCCTCCTGAACTAGTGTTGTCTTAATGGAAGTAGTCTGGCTAGAGAAGGTGTTTACAGCTGGGGTAGAATTTTAGTTATGCAAAGCCACGAAGCAGAGCATCTACCATGGCTCGTCTAAGTAATGAAAAACTCGATTGCTATGTTGGGGGCGGTCTGAGAAGAGGTTTAAAGAGCAGATATGTAGACACTATGTCATTTTCCTCTTGTTTAACCTTCCAATCCTAATACTTGTTCTCTTTACATTTGGTTGTCTATTTTAATAAGATTTTCTTTGATTTAATGAAATCATTGTCACTTGTGAATTAGTTTTCTAAGTAAAAAACCTTGTACCCTGCGTGTTTAATGACTGGAACAAATAGCACACGCTGAGGTTTATATCACTGTTTTATCTTAGAGCTACTGAGTTACCTGCACTTGTTTTCCTCCAAGTAGCCACTTGATGCTTTCTGTGTTTAATACTATTGAAAGAATTTATAGCAAAATTTGAGTGTTACATGATTCAGAGAGAAACTTTGCCAAGAAATAATTTTTGAAAATTTTGTTACAACCTGAAGAACTATTTTTTAAAAAATAAGATTTATTCTGACTTAAATGCTTATTTTATACTAGTAATTTTTTCTATTGACATACTTGTGTTGCAAAATATTTCTCTAAATAAGTTTGCATATTGCAAAATATTCCCCCAAATAAATATTCATTACTTTAGCCAGACCTTCTCGTGGGAAATCACATTTGGGAATACTGATACATTTAAAGAAAAATATTAAGCTTTGCAAAATTTAGTAGTTTATTTTATAGTGCTATAAATTGTACAGTTTCCTTGAACAAATTCTCTTGAAGAATATATGTGTTAAGGTACTGTATATTGTATATTACTTTGAATTTATCCTTTCGGGTAAGCAGTGGATAATTTTTGCCACAATGAAATGGAACATAGATGTTGCTTTCTACCTCATTTTGCCTTGCTAATAGTTTTATTGTTGCTTTGAGTAGCAGGTTTGTATCTTTTTTTGTTTCCAGTTTTACCAATGTATCAAAAATAGAAAATAGAAGTGGCATGTAAGTTTGAGTATGTCATAGACTAGGAGAGACAGTGGAACAGGATAAGTATACAATTGTGAGGAAACTACTGTGAGTTCATAAGCCGGAAGGACCTTTTTAGAAGTATTTAAGGATGTTAAGAATAGCATTGGGATCTTTTCTTTTAAAGGCATTGTGGGGAATATTCAAGTGTTGATGACATATAACAACATATTGTTGAAGAACCAATAAAAAGATCATTGGAAAAAGTGGAAACATTTTAATAAGGATTTTTATCCTAAAAACATGTAATAGACCTTTTGAGAAAGTGACTTTTGGACCTAATCCTGAAAGTTCCTTACTATTCTTACAGTTATACTGCAGACTCCATTTATTTTCACTGTATAGTTTGTAACTCAAAATGAAATCTTTGGAGTCACTTATTAGCCTAATTTGTCTCTTTGACATTGACATACTGCTTTCTGTTATTCTTATTCCTGTTTTAGTACCTCTACCTGTAAGAATGGTGTTTTCTCAATAGAATTAATTATGCAGATATGGAATGGTGACTCACACTGTGCTTTTTTTTTTTTGGTTGAACTGGGGATTGAACTCAGGCCTTTGCACTTGCCAGGGAAGCGCCTATTCCACTGAGCCATCTTTCCAGCCCCTCACACTTTGCTTTTGTTAGATAGAAAATGTCAAGTACTATATAACAGTAACTCCCACCCCCCATTTGATTCCAATGCATAATTAACTTTTTACTTGCTTTAATAGTTTACTTTTGGTAATATTTAAACTTTGTTTAATTTATTTTTTAAAATAGGGGCTGGCCAAATAGCTCAGTGGATTAAAGCGCCAGGCTCAGGAGCCAGGCCAGGGGAACCCCCCTGGCCAGCTGTCTCTGGCCCTGGCCCTGGGGCGCATTGAGACTGGGTATGGGGGAGCATGCCTGTAATCCCAGCACTTGGGAGGCTGTAAACAGGAGAAGCACTATGAGTCTGATCTAGTAATGAGACCCTGAACACCCTGTAGACCCTTCCCTAAAATACAGGGGGAAAAAAAAAGATGTATTTAGTACAGGACCTACAGGGTCTCACTGTAGTGATCCTCCTGTTTTCAGCCTCCCAAGTGCTGCGATTACAGGTGTGCCCCCACCATGCCCAGTCTCATTCACTGTCTCAGTTTGCCCCTGGGATGGGGCCATCGTGGCATGCTGGGGATTGAACCCCTAGACTTTATTTTAAATTTAAAGATTTCTTGCATTTCAGATCCTCCAAGATACTGTAAAGTAGATTTTGTAGGAGATAAATATTAAAATAGTTTTAGGTTTTTTAACCATCTAGAAACATACAGGACTTGGAAATTTGTTGATATGGTATCTGAAAGAATTTCATGGGGCAGAAACTTTCAGTAGTTTTAGATATTTAACTATATAATACTTAATTGTATATGTATATGAAGTTTTTATGTAAAAATGAAACTCCTTGTTGATCTTTATGATAGCAGTAGGATCTTACTACATTTAAAGAATCACTTTAAATCATTAAACGTGGCTGGTTATGGTGGTGCTGCCAGTAATCCCAGCACTCTGGAGTCTGAGGCAGGCGGATCACTGCAAATTTGAGGACAGCCTAGGCTGCAAAGTGAGTTAGTTGAAGGTCTGCCTGAACGGCACAGTGAAAACCTGTCTGAAAAAGGAAAAAGAAATCATTTAACCCTGAGTAATATTTTTTTCTTTGTAGGTACTGTATGATAAAGAATGTGTGAGTTTGTAATTTGTAGAAGATATTTAGCAAACATTTGTTTGCTGTTGATTTTACTAAGCATTTTGACTAGTTGCATAGCTTTGGTTCAGTAAGATAGTGTTTTGGGGATTTTGTATCAAACTTACCTTTGAACTGGAAGATTTGTTGAATATAAAAGAAAATTAATCATTTTAAGATTTTTAAAAATTGAGTATGTTTTAACTTAAAATATTGTTTCCGAATGAAACTCCTGTCAGATTTGTCAGTCTGGTAGGACTTTTTATTCTTTTTAATTCTTTTTATTTGGCAGAACCGGGGATTGAACTCAAGCCCTTGCGCTTGCCAGGGAAGTGCTTATTCCACTGAGCCATCTCCACAGCCCTCTTTTTAATTCTTCAAAAAAATTTTTTTCTTTTTATGTGTCATCCTTGCACAGGGGCCATGCTAATCTTCTCTGTATCATTCCAATTTTAGTATATGTGCTGCCGAAGCGAGCACAAAGTGTTGAAATTTTTTTTTTTTCTTTTGCGGAACTAGGGATTGAACTTGGGCCCTTGCGCTTGCCAGGGAAGCGCTTACTCCACTGAGCCATCTCCCCAGGCCCAGTATGATCTTTTTTTTTTTTT